GCCAGAAGATGAGCCCATCAGGTCGGAAGACACTCAAAATTTGACTGGGAAAGAGCTGATTCCTCAGAGTAGAGACAACCTTAATGATATGGATAAAGCTTTTGGGATTTCCATTGGCTGATGTTGTATGACTCAAAATGAGTAAATGAGTAGAAACAGATGCAAACATCCATTAATAATTGGACATGGAATGTATGAATTATGAATCTGGGAAAATTGGAAGTTGTCAAAAATAAAATAGAAAACATAAAGATCGATATGTTAGGCATTAGTGAGCTGAAATGGACTGGTATTGGCCATTTTGAATCAGACAACCATATGATCTACTATGCTGAGAATGACAAATTATAGAGGAATGGTGTGGCATTCATCGTCACAAAGACTATTTCAAGAGCTGTCCAGAAGTACAACACTGTCAGTGATAGGATAATATCCATATGCCTACAAGGTAGACCAGTTAAAACTACTATTATTCAAATTTACACACTAACCACCAAAGCCAAAAATGAAGAAATTGAAGACTTCTACCAACTTCTGCAGTCTGAAATTGACTGAACATACAATTAAGATGTGTTGATTATCATTGGTGAATGGAATGCAAAAGTTGGAAACAAAGAAGAGTTACAGGTAGCTGAAAAATATGGCCTTGGTGATAGAAATAATGCTGAAGAGCGCATGACAGAATTTTGCAAGACCAACGACTTATTCATTGCAAATACCTTTTTCCAACAATGTAAGTGATGACTATACACGTGGACTTCATCATATGGAATACACAGAAATAAGATTGACTACATTTATGGAAAGAGGCAATGGAAAAGTTCAATATCTTCAGCCAAAACAAGGCCAGGAACTAACTTATTGTGGAACAGACCATCAATTGCTCATATGCAAGTTCAACTTGAAGTTGAAGACAATTAAAACAAGTCCACGAGAGCCAAAATATGATCTTGATAAAATCTCTCCTGAATTTAGAGCCCATTTAAAGAATAGATTTGATGCTCTGAACACAAATGACCCAAAACCAGAGGAATTGTGGGATGACAGGAAGAACATCATCCATGACGAAAGCAAGAAGTCATTAAAAAGATGAGAAAGGAAGAAAAGACCAAAATGGATGTCAGGAGAGACTCTGAAACTTGCCCCTGAGTGGAGAGTAGCTAAAACAAATGGAAGAAATTACAAGATAGAAGAGCTGAACAAATGATTTCAAAGAGCAGCTTGAGCAGAAAAAGACAATTACTGTAATGAAATATGCAATGACCTGGAGTTGGGAAACCAAAAGGGAAGAACATGCTCAACATTTCTCAAGCTGAAAGAACTGAGAAAAAACCCTAAGCCTCAAGTTGCAATATTGAAAGATTCTATGGGCAAAATATTGAATGATGCAGGAAACATCAAAAGAAGATGGAAAGAATATACAGTCACTGTACCAAAAAGAATTGGTCAATGTTCATCCATTTCAGGAGGTAGCATATAATCAAGAACCAAGGCATTGAAGGAAGAAGTTGAAGCTGCACTGAAGGAATTGGCAGAGAACAAGGCTCCAGGAATTGATGGAATACCCACTGAGATGTTTCAATAAACAGATGCCCCGCTACAAGCACTCATTCCATTACACCAAGAGATTTGGAAGACAGCTACCTGGCCAACTGACTGGAAGAGATCCTTACTTGTACCCATTACAAAGAAATGTGATCCCACAGAATGGGTAAATTATGGAACAATATCATTAACATCACATGCAAGTAAAACCTTACTGAAGATAGTTCAAAAACGGTTGCAGCAGTATATTGACAGAGAGCTTCCAAAAAATGCAAGCTGGCTCAGAAGAGGATGTGGAATGAGGGATATCATAGCTGATGTTAGATGGATCTTGGATAGAAGCAAAGAATACCAAAAAAGATGTTTACTTACATCTTATTGACTATGCAAAAGCATTTGATTGTGTGGATCATAACAAATTATGGATAGCATTGAGAAAAATAGGAATTCCAGAACACTTACTTGTACTCATGAGGAACCTGCACATAGATCAGGAGGCTGTCATTCGAACAGAACAAGGGGATACTGCATGGTTTAAAATCAGGAAGGGAGCGTGTCAAGGTTGTATCCTTTCACTATACTTATTCAATCTGTATGCTGAGCAAATAATTCACGCAGCTGGATTATATGAAGAACATCACATCAGGATTGGAGGAAGACACATTAACAACCTGTGATACACAGATGACACAACTTTCCTTGCTGAAAGTGAGGATGACTTGGAACACTTACTGAAGAAGATTAAAGACTACAGTCTGCAGTATGAATTACACCTCAACATAAAGAAAACAAAAATCTTCACAACTGGACCAAAAAACAGCATCACGATAAATGGAGAAAAGACTGAAGTCATCAAAGATTTCATGTTACTTGGATCCACAATCAACACCAATGGAAGCAGCAGTCAAGACACCAGACAACGTACTGCACTGAGAAAATCTGCCGCAAAAAAAAAAAAAAAAAAAACCTCTTTAAAGTGCTGAAGAGCTAAGATATCTCCTTGAAAACTAAGATGTACCTAACCCAAGTCATGGTATTTTCAAAAGCCTCATATGCATGTGAGAGCTGGACAATGAATAAGGAAGACTGAAGAACAGTTGATGCTTCTAAGTTGCGCTGTTGGTGAAGAATACTGAAAATACTACGGGCTGCCCAAAGAACTAACAAATCTGTCCTGGAAGAAGTACACCCAGAATGCTCCTTGGAAGCAAGAATGGCCAAACTTTGTCTTATCTATTTTGGTCATGTTGTCAGAAGGGACCATTTCCTGGAGAAGGCTATCATGCTTGGTAAAGTGGAGGGTCAACAAAAACAGGAAGGCCCTCAATGAGATGGATTGACACAGTGGTTGTAATGGTCAGTTATATAGAAGGGCTTGTGAGACTGGCACAGGACTGGGCAGTGTTTCATTCTGTTGCACATAGAGTCACTATGAGTGAAAGATGACTCGATGGCACCTAACAACAACAGATTGTTATTCATAGGTTTGTCTTCATGAAAGTTCAATAGTATTGACTTGAAAACACTGACACAGATCTAGGTAAAGTCAAAGGTAGAGAAAAAAAGTATAAACTACTAGACACTGAACACCCATAAACAAAGTTAGTGGTAATCCCTCCTGTTCGCCTGTGCTTAATAATCACACTTCTTGAAGTTTGCTAAGGAAATTCCAAATCTGTAATAGCATAAGAAAGCAAGGTGTAGGGGAGCTGCTTTGACATCAAATCATTTGACTATTTAGAACTCATTTTTAAATCTTAAAACTATGTTTGAGTGTGTGTTGAGCTTTCTTGTCTGGTTTTCTTTGAGGCAAGAGAGTTACTTCACTTGATGACATTAAAAGGGAAGTACAGCCCTCAAAATATAAAAATAATCACTGGTTCATTCAAGGAAAACACAGAAACAATTTCTAACAGACCAGATTGTGATGAATGGGACAAATTTACCTACCCTGTAAAAACTCATCGAGGACAGTGGTAGAATTCTTGCCTTTCACACCAGAAAGCCAGGTGTTAGTCCAGGTGAGTGCACCTTATGTGCAACTTGTGTTTGCTGTGATGCAGAATCAATTTCAGCAGAGCTTCCAGACTGACAGACTAGGAAGAAAGGTCTGGTGACAGACTTCTCTGGCATTTCCTTCCATTGGGCATGGGATTGCCATGAGTCAGGAGCTCCATGGCAGCTAACAACAAGAAAAATTTACCAAATACAAATTACAGAAACTTTTTTTTTTTCACTTTATAAAACATATACTTGAAATAGTAGCTGGCATTTTACATTTTAGTTTTGGTTTAGAAAATATTAACATTTGATCAAAGGAGGCAGAGAAATAAATTGATAAATATTAGCAATGAAAATGAAAACAAAGACATACTGCATTGGGCAAATCTGCTGCAAAAGACCTCTCTAAAATATTAAAAAGCAAAGATGCCACTTTGAGGACTAAAAGGCACCTGACCCAAACTGTGGTTTTTTTCAACCACCTCATATGCGTGTAAAAGCTGGACAGTGAATAAGAAAGACCAAAGAAGAATCGATGAGTTTGAATGAAGGTGTTGGTTAGCAATACTATGCATACGACGGTCTTGCAGGAGAACAAACAAATGTATCTTGGAAGAAGTACAGTTAGAATGCTCCTTAGAAGTGTGAATGTCACTTTAGTTTTGTGTATTTCACTGTACATAAATTATACTTAATAAAATGTATTTTAAAAGATGAAGAAGAAGTGAGGATGGTGATGCCCACTTTGGTCATATTATCAGGAGGGAACGGTCCCTGGAGGATATCACATTTAGTGATGCAGAGGGTCAGCAAAAAAGACCCTCAGTGAGATGAACGGACACAGTGACTGCAACAATGGGCTCAAACACAGCAACGACTTGTGAGGATGGCGCCATACCCAGCAGTGTTTCGTTCTGTTGTACACAAAATTGGTATGAGTCGGAACTGGCACCATGGCACCTAACAACAACAAAAATTATGACATAGATCGATGAGGAACAAAACTTATTTACTACAAATCAATTAATATAAACCTTTGCAGTTAACATAATTGTTATATAAAATTTGTGATATTAAAAACCCTGGCCCACCACAAAAAATTCTTAATTTACAGAAGCCAAATAAAACGTGTTGTTCTATTACTTCTATTACTACTATATTTGTCCTACTTACTAAACACTCACGTTATCCTAGGTCTTTTAAACAAGATAACAAACATTATCTTTGTACTTGTCTTTCATTGGAGAATATTTAAAGCGGTAGGAAGATTGGTTACGTCACAATCGCGTTCGGAAAGGTTTGACCCTCTCTAGTCTTCGTAGAAAGTGGCCAAGGTATCCGCTTCCTCGCGCTCCCTCAAGCACCACGGAAACGAAACTGGACAAGGGTCCGCCTCACGGTCTGTGGGATGAGCCAATCAGAGCATAGCCCGGGCTGATCTCGTGCCGGGTGTCATGGCGGCTTGCAGGCACTGCTGTTCTTCCCTTTGGCCTCGGCCACTGGGCAATGGTCCGCTCCGTCTGCCAGGGCGGACTCGGGCACTTACCCCACTGCAGGTGCGAGCACTCTGGGGCGGCACGGGCTCCCGAGCCGTAGCCGTGGACTTAGGAAGCAGGTAAGCATCGGCGTGCATTCCCTGTCCTTTCACAAGGCTTCTTGCCTGGTCAGTCCAACTTTTTCATCTCCCGGAGTGAGAATACAGCAGCCCAGGTGTTTCTCCTCCTTATTTACCCTAAACCTCACGCCATAATTTCATTTGCAGATTTGGAGTCTTTTCTTCTCTGGCCCTCCCCGTACCCGTTCTATCTCGGCCTCGTGCCTTTTGTTTCTTGGTCTTTGGTTTTGCTCTGCTCCGGGCTTCACCTGTCCAGCTGAATCTGTCTGCCTGATTTCCATTCTCTTTATTTTGCCGGGGGAGTCCTTGGGTGGTGCAGATGGCTAACATGCCTGGTTGCTAAACTCAAGGTCAGAAAGTCTTGGTCTACTTCTGAAAAATCAGCCCCTGAAAACCATAGTGAGCCCAGTTCAGTTCTGACACACTTACGTCACCAGGCGTCCAATGGACTGGACGGCAACCGGTTGTGTATTTTATTTTATTTACTTTGGGGAACCCCTGGTCTGTAAAGTGCGAAACATTTCATCCTGGAATAACAAGTTGACAACGGATGTTCGTGTCATTCAATCCAACTGATTGCCTAAAAGCTGTCTAGTATGGCCCAGAGTAGGGTGGGAAAGGACACGTCAGTTAGTGAACGCCAGTTAAATGATACACACAATTTTTAAAAGAGATTTTTATAATTAAGACATCAGATTTAAAAAAAAAGGTTAAGTAACTTCCCAGAGTCACAAAACTAGTACTGTGGAACTGGGTGGATTTTGAACTTGAGTTTCTCTGGTTACAAACCCATGATTTTTCAGAGGTCCATTTGTAGAATTCACTTTTTAAAAACTTGATTCGTTTTTAGAATAAATGAAGCTGTTAGTGTTGAGATGTGTTTACATTGTTTACTTTTTTTTTTTAATCTGATCCTGATTCAGACTGAAAACAGAAACAAATCTTTGATTCCAAGCCTTCCTCATAACTTACTAAGTGAGAATTATGGAATAGATTAAGGGTATGAAACTTCTGTGAAGGTCTAGATAGAGTGTGTATTTCAGATATTTTGGGCTGTGTACTGCCACATTTTCTTTGTTTTTTAAGTAACTGTCCTCCATAGTTTGCCTAAACAATGGACTTTGAGGCTTTCATTTAGTAATCAACTTGTACTTCTATGGCTGTATTATGTGTTGAAATGTCATACCTGCTGGATAAACCAAAAAAAAAAAAAAAACTCACTGCCGTGAAGTCGGATCTGACTTATAGTGACCCCTCCTGGGTTTCCGACACAGTATCACTATGTTGTTGTTGTTGTGTGCCCTCCAGTCAGACCCGACTCATAGTGAGCCCTCCTTGAGTTTCCGAGGCAGTATCACTAAGGAAGTAGATTGTCCCTTCTTCCTTCTAAGGAGTGGCTGGTGGGTTTGAACCGCCAGCCTTCTGGTTAGCAGTCAAGTGCCTTAGGAACTATGCTACCAGAGCTCCGCGGTATCACTATGGAAGTAGATCAACCAGTCTTCCTCCTGAGGTGTGGCTGGTGGGTTTGAACTGCCAGCCTTCTGGTTTGCAGTCAAATGCCTTAGGCACTAGCTACTAAATTTGTCCTTTATTGAGTAGCAGCTTGTAACATTTTTTAGAGTAGCAACTATGTTACAAGCATTTTATATTTGTCATCATATGTATTCCTTACAACACACTAGGAGATTGTCTATAACCTATAATGCCTAAGGCATTTGACTGCTAACCAGAAGGTTGGCAGTGCAAACCCACCAGCCACTCCACTGAAGGAAGACTGGGAAATCTGACCGTAAACTACTTCCATAAATCTTTACTAACTCGGAAACCCAAAGGGGGTCGCTGTGAGTTAGAATGGAGTCGATTGCATTGAGCTTTTTCTTTTTTTTTTTAAAACAGAGGAGAAAGAGTAACTTAAAAAAAGGCTTACTGTGTGGTAGGTGTTTTTCAGATAGGGTGTTTATACAGGCACAGCTCATTTTATGGTGCTTTGCTTTATTGCACTTTGCAGATTTTTTGAAAACTGAAGGTTGTGGCACCCCTGTGTTAAGCAAGTCTATTGGTGCCATTTTTCCAACAGCATGTGCTCACTTCATATGATTCTGTGTCACATTTTGGTAGTTCTCACAGTATTTCAAACTTTTTCATAAGGCTGTTGCATACTTAATAGACTACAGTATAATGTAAACATAACTTTTATATGCACTGGGAAACCAAAAAATTCTTGTGACTCTCTTATTGTTTTATTACAGTAGTCTGGACCCAAACTCACAATATCTCTGAGGTATGCCTGTGTTTCATTTTCATCTCAATAAGCTTTTATTGAGTACTACAAAGGCAGCACTGGATATACAGACTTTGATGAGGAAATGAGATAAGTACAGGTTCTGCTCTGGGGTAATCATTGTGGGTGAGGTGTGCACTGGGTACTAAGGGAGCACAGAGGACTATTTATGACACTGTAAGTTTGCATTGGGAGGTGACACTTGAAAGATGAAGAAGAATTAGGAAGGAGAGAAAGGGCATGTGCATTTGCAGAGAGGTGAGAGAATGAATAGTGCATTTGAGTACCTAAAAAAAATCTGTTTGGATGAAGCAAAAGGAGAAATGAGTTTAGCACTGTCAACAGATGCCAAATCATAAAAATCTTATTTTTGTGGTCAACTTACTAAATATTCTTGGAGAAAATTGGTTGGTTACATTTCATATCATGCTGCAAGGGTTTCTAAATATTCTTTAAATATTTGTCTTTGCTTAGATTTGTACTTCCTGTGGCAGATGATCCTTTTCTTCCTCTTTTCTCTTCCTCACCTACTTCCTATCACTTTCTTCTCCACTAAAAGGAACTGTTGGTGCTCATCTTATCCTTTTTATTATTTTTTTTCCAAAGTATTTTTGATTACGTATCCACTCACATGTTTCCGCATTTAAATGTTAACAAAATGATCCTGTAGAGTTTCATAGCCACACAGTTCCATCCTCAGAGGCCATTGATGTGTTATCAATTTCTTGAGTATATATTTAGAGATAAGACAATCTACTTCTTAAAAGATTTATAGCCTTGGAAACCCAGTGGGTGGTCTCTATGAGTTGTAATCAACTCTGTGGAAATGAGTTTTGAGAGTTTAATATTTAGAGATGTTTTATACATGTGTTGTTGTAGTTGTTGTTAAGTGCCGTTGAGTCATTTCCGACTCATAGCAACCCCACGCACAGCAGAACGAAACACTGCCCGATCCCGCGCCAGCCCCACAATCCCTGCTATACTTGAGCCCGTCACACCCACCATGTCAATCCATCTCGTTGAAGGCCTCCCCCTCTTTCGTTGACCCTCCACCCTACCAAGCATGACATCCTTCTCCAGGGAATGGTCCCT